AGTCGGGTAGCCCGGCTTCAATGAGCAACCCGCGTGCCGCCTCCGTGATTGTGCGGTTCGCTCGCTCGGCGATGCCGTTCATTGCAGGGGAGTATGGCATGGTGAGGGAGTGCCGAATACCATTCTTCTTCAGCCACAACCCAAACTCCTTGCTCAGGAACTCTCCCCCTCGATCGGTGCGGATTGACTTGACTAGACGGTCTTGTTGCCGCTCCACCATCGGGAACCAATCCGTCTTCAACGTTTCAGCCACGTCGCTCTTCTTGGCCAGCACGTACACCCAAGTCATGCGGGTGTAGACGTCGACAATGGTGAGAAAATACTCAGCTCCAGCAGCTCCAAGCTTCAGGGGGCCCACCACGTCCATCACCACCTCATCAAGCGGTGCCTTTGCCGTTGCCTCCGAACTAGGGAACGGAAACCGGGTGAACTTGGCTTGAATGCACGTCGGGCAGCCAAGCACCTCATCGGGCTCCCCCTTCACACGTATGCCAGCAACCATCTCATTCTTCACTAGCTGCTGCAAGATGGGCAGGGCCACATGCCCCATGCGCCGATGCAAGGTGAGCCAATCACACTCCCCCGTAGCCGAAGTTGGATTGGAGAATGCCGCGCTCGCAATAGCGCCCCACATACTCTCTCCGTAGTCCTCCTCCGCTGCTGTCTCTGGGTTCTCCTCACCCTTTTGCTGCTCCTTGGTTGCTGCACCACTCTCCTTAGGTTCACTGAACTTGCTGGTCCCTCCAGGTTTGCTCTTCTTGAGCTCATTCTCCTTAGCGCGACCGTTCGCGCCATCGTCGCTACCGACCGCTCCATCCTTGGTGCTGATGCTTGCTGCCACTTGCCTCTCCTTAGGCATAGGGACCACTGGGATCTGCCACATCTCATTGTAGACATCCCTGTCCTCATGAAGGTCCCAAAGAATTCGATCGCCAAGCCTTGCGGTGTAGGTCTTGGCTCCCTTCGAGTTCGTGTCCATGCCGGCCTTTGCCAACCGCCGCACGGAAATCAGGTTTGCAGCAAGGCTGGGCACCCAAAGCACGTTCTTGAGGCCCACCATCTTCCCATCAGCACCCTTGAACATGGCCTTGCCCATGCCTTTCACCTCTGCTCGCTGCCCCAAAGCCGATGTGACATGCTTCACCGGTGACGGCTTGAGTTCGGTGAGCAAGTCCGGGCGAGGTGTCATGCTATGGGTAGCGCCACTATCAATCACCCAATAGTCCAGGGGGTGTAGGGTCACCTTCCCCACAGCTGCTGGCTCCTCAAAGCCTTCATCCTTCTCTGGACCAGCCGGTACTTGCGTCGACACGAAGTAGAATAGACCCGGGTATCGATCGTCGCTCGGGTCCTTGTCGTTGTCTCCGCTCTTCATGTTTGCAGCTCCGCCACCGCGACCGCCACGGCCTCCACTGCCTCGTCCTCTCCCTCCTCCTGCTCCTCTACCCTCTTGGCCTTGAGCAGGGGTCCAACCATCAGGGAGTTTGTAGCAGTCGCGCCACATGTGTCCGCTCTTGTGGCAATAGTGACACTCGCCGTCGAATCGGCCGCGACCGCGTCCGTAGCTCTTGTCGTCGCTGCCGTAACCGCCACTCCTGCGGCCTCCGCCGAAGTTGCTGCCACCAAACCTTCCTCCCCCTCGTCCTCTGCCTCTTCCTCGACCATATCCACGGCCGATACTCGCTGCCCCAGCGCCATCCGCACTCGCCAACTCACGGCGGCGGAAATCCTCTTGAAGGATAGCTCGCTTCACGTCTTCAAGCGAGAGGCGGGGCAAGTCGCGATTAAGGTTGATGATGAGCGAGGACCATGACTCTGGGAGTAAGGCCAGCAACTTGGTCTTCTTTTGGAGCTCACTGTAGTTCAAATCAGCTCCCTCAAGCCGCGTCAACAAGTCGAAGAATTTCTGCACCCCTTCTTCAACCGCTTCGTCTTCTTCAATTCGTAGTGCCGCCATTTGCCGTTCCAACACCACCGCTACCGCCGCTGTTGCAGGAGCATGTACACCCTTGAGAGCAGCCCATGCCTTTGGTCCTTTCTCTGGTTCACGCTGGAATGGCTTGATGTGACGGATCTGACTGCTCCCCAACGCTTGCCCAAGTAAGAGATAGCCTTGTGCGCTCTTCCGCACCCACGGGCTCTTCTCCGGGTCGTTCTCGGGGCGCTTCTCCGTTCCTTCCATCACCTCCAGCAGGTCATAGTGGTCAAAGATGTTCTCCATCTTGAAGGACCATTCAGCAAAGTTGTCACCGTTGAACTTGTCAAGCCCAAACACCCTAGGCTCATCCCTAGGTGGGCCAAGACTTGGTTGCATGGGCGCCATGGCTGAATCACGGGGTTGGCCTTGAGCTTGAGCTTCTCCACTGCCTCCAGCACCTCTGCCACCCCTTTCCTCAGGTCCAGACATTGTCGAAACTGCTCCAAGGGGCTCTCATACCACTTGTTATAGTCACAATAGGCTTGAATGTGCCTAAAACGAAAGATAGAGAGCACAGACGGATTTCTGCACAGCGGCTTCAAACGTTGATAGTGTTCTGCTCACAGCTGCAAATGACCTGATTCAAATTGGATCTGGAGCGTCTTCACGTCGTCTACAATTAGCAATTTAGATTGCACGATTTGATAAAGAATTGACGACACAGCGTCGATTTGAACGAACGGTACTATGGCAGCCACTATAGTCTTAGAACACAAGATAGGAAGAGTTACGAGTTGGGAATGACTCCCAGCTCCTACAAACCCCAAGAGCCGAGGTACAGTGATGTGGAACAGTGCCAAACTGTCCCCAACCACGAAGGGTCTCGAAACTACCCTTCACTAGGGCCTACACCAAGTGAAATGTTACACTACACAAAGTAATGTAACTATCTTCAATATCTTGAGGTGTACCCTTTTGGCGAGCTTCGAAATCACTTGAGGCTTGACACCAAGGCTCGGGCTCTTCATCACAAACTCATCCTTGAGTTCTTGATGGGTCTGCTGCACACACCTGCGACACGCCGAACGTTCGACACAGGACAAAATAGAAACCGCGCACGACAAAATAGAAACCGCGCGCGAGACACAAACGACCGCGTAACACGCGTCTAGCGATAACTCGCTATTGACTCGACACACACACTCGACATCATGACTCAACATTCACACACAATTATAAGCATGAAATATATATTATCCCATGCCCTCATACCATTCCATACACACACACATTCACGCACACGGACAACAAGCCGAGTGCAAACCGTAGGGTTGCACCAACAAACTGAAATCTCGGGTCAATCCCGAGCACCCCTCGGGATCCCGCAGCACCCTTCCGAAACTCATGCGCACACCTCACGTGCGCAATCATGCACGACCAGACAAACTGGTCATGCTGTACAGCGCCACAACGTGCGCCCTGTGCGCGCTCGCAACAGTGCGAGCCTGACGCGTGGGCCTGAGGGCCCATACGCGCATGTCAGGACCACACGCGCGGGTCCTAACAGTCGCGCGCTTTTTTGACCAGTGCGAAACTGGTCAAAGGGCTCGGTCAAACATCGAGCCCCACCTCCCCGGCACACTCGACTCCCAGAATGAACACTCATGAAACTGCAAGAACAAGCATGAACAAAACATGAACGAAACATTAACGAAACATGAACGGTCATGAATGAACATGAACGTACGCAACGAGTCATGAACACGCGAAGGCTCATGAACACACATGAACACTCGGAACTTCACGCACATTCATGACGCAACACGAACAACACGAAGCACACGCGAACAGTCATGAAAACGCATGAATGCAACCTCACACTAAAATGCACATAACTCATGAACCGCTAAGGCGATTCACAAACCGTAAACGCCAAAATGATCAGTACATAGATGCGCATTCCACACCACAAAAATTACCTTAAAACAAATACCTATAAAATTCCACCTTGCTCGACGAATAGGCGACATGTTGACGTGCAAAATACATTTTGCACCCAACAGGTGCTAGCGTTCAAAACCGTTTAGTGACCAGGTGGATATTTTGCTGCCCAAACATTTGACGTAGTTGTCGACTTCACTGGCCAGTTGCACACTTGCATGATCTTGGGTGGTAGAATATGTACGCAGGCAAATTGCGGGCTGTTTCGCTGCACATGACATCGCCTCTCCAGCCACTAACGTGTCCTTGAGGTTCCAGCGTTACAATATTCAGCCAATAAAAAAGCCTACACATTGCGTGCTTGCCAGGAAAATCTCTTCACTTTCGAGAAACAGGTTCATCCACGTTGTCCAACTGTGGGATGTGGTGGTGATAGCACGCGCGGAGAAAAGACAAACTTGTACATGGGTGCATAAGGACCGCCAGCGCACCAGATTTGCTGCTGTTCATGAACGCGAACGCCAGCGCACCTGAAGGCACTACCGCACTTCATCCCACGAGCAGCAACTCTGTTTCTCTGAAACCCCACCCCATCCCCTTCTCTCCCCCGTTTCCCATCCTCGTTGGCAGGGGAAAGAGGCAACTGCTCTGTCCGCGTGTCTCAGTTTTGGAATTCAAAGTTTGAAATTTCAAACTTTGTTTTAACCTTGCTCGAGGCCCGACTTCTTTTTCATTCGCTCATCCGGCGACCCGTGCCGAGCCTCAATGCGAGGCGACTTTGGGCTCACGTCTGGTAATGTATCCGGTGACAGCCAATCATGGTGCGTTTCGCGAACCCTCCTTTAGTAGTCCATTCGCCTACGATTTAACCCGCTTTTTGGTCACATGGACGACTTCATATAAATAGCTGTGTCTGCATCTAGCTGGCTATTCGCTGGAACTCGGTTCATTTGTTTAATAACCCTTACAGTCATGACACGCGGTAATGCTCGAGACCTTGTCCCGGAATCTTTGCGCTCCCTGCAGACCAGAAAGCTCCCGGCACAGAAGAGCAAGGACAATCACAAGTATATTGGTGCCGCTGCTACCGCAGGTATTTGCACGCTGGTTTTGTTTTGCGTTTTTATTATTGTTTGCACGAATGAAGTCAAACACAACTAACCACCGTTCAGTGTTTCTCGCAGATGAAAGCCACGATGAATCGTCCGACGAGCAAGCGCAGGGCCGCCATCGCACCGGCCAACGGTCCAAACATGCAAGGCGGAGCCTCGATGACGTCAACAAAGGCCCCGTTGTTGGGAAAACCGTCCCTGCACCGGCAGCTGGAGTGAAGTCCGTGGCTGGCGGTGGTCCCCTCGATGCTACTGCCAGTGGTCCCTTCCCTGCTGCTGCCGTTGCTGCCGGATATTCCCCTGCTGCCGCTGCAGCCGGGTCTTCCCCTGCTGCCGCTGCTGCCGGATCTTCCCCAGCTGTTGCTGCTACCGGATCTTCCCCAGCTGTTGCTGTTGCCGGATCTTCCCTTGCCGCGGCTGCTGCCGGATCTTCCCCTTCTGCTATTCCTGACGGTGGTTCACCTCCTGCTGATGTGGCTCCCGATGATGTTGTTCTCGTCGGGACACCAGCTCCTGTTGAAGGTATGTCTGCTATACCTTTCTCAAAGTGGTGTCTCTGAGTTGCTGTTCTGCATCATTTGGCCGTCGTTAACAACCTGCTTTCAACCTGTTGAATTCATATCTAACGTGTCGCTTTGTAAATTACTCCCACACAACAGGAAACCCCAACCGCAGCCCAATGGAGTTGCTTATGACCCGGGCGACGGGGCGTGCGTATGCAACTGATGCCGCTCTGTTCGACGAGGAAGCGCGCGCCGAACCTGATGTGAATGAGGAGCTTCGAACTAAGGCTAAAGCTCAGAAGGCGATCGCCGGAGTTTATCAGAAAGAGAATGGTCGCCTGGCCGAAGACCTGAAAAGCGCGCTGGTGCTTATAACGCACCTTGCTAAGAAGGCAACGCAAGTGGACCAGTCTACTCTCGACTGGAAGGTACGGGTTTGCATATCGTAACCCAGTTACATTCGTCCTGACTCTCTGTCATCGTCTTGCAGAAGTACACGAAGGACGCCTGTGATGAATTCCTGTTCAAGAAAGCATTTCTCAACCTCAATCCCGAGTCTGATGACATGCTTAATGCATTGATCAGTAAGTTATTAAAGCGTTGTGTCAATTCTCCCTTCATGTTTGGTAATGTACTAATCATCACAGTTTATGTCGTGTGCAGGGCATGCAGGCTACACCCCCGAATCGGCCGAAGGGATGCAGGTGGCAGCGATTGCCAAGTCCCAGGGCAAGCTGAAGAATGTTGTGGATCGTTTTAACGATCGCATCGGGAATATCTACCGCCTCTGCCGCGTTTACGCCTTGAGCCGAAGTCCGTGCGTCTTCATGAGGGAGAAGCGCACCCTGAAGGGCGAGCTTACTTTCTCCGAGATCGATGACTTCTCGAAGGTGTGCGCGGACTACGTGAAGAACCAATCCGACAGTAAGTGTTTCTTTTATTCTAAAATCATGTTTTTTCCAGTTTTCCGTTGAGCCTTGCTTTAGCCTGATGCGTTCTCTTTTGGCAGTGATGATGGGAATTTATTGGCATTTGTGGGAGGGATCACCCTTTTCTAGCCCAGCGTTTCTTAAGTGTGCGTCCCTTTGGGACCCGGAATTCGACGGCGCCCTTCCCATTGCGTTGTTTCCAGATCAGCTGCTGGTTATCCTTGCAGCGGTAAGTCAAGTACTGTGAAATTTGCTTTTTGTGTTAAAAGTTTCCCTTACAGTGGTTTTTTATCCATTTGTTTCAGGTGCGCTTCAAGCTTCGTTACCCGCACAACAAGGCCCAGTTCAAGCGATCAGGGGACCCGTCAGCCTTCTCCAGGCAGGCACGGGTGGTGCAGAGGTGGATCAACGAGGGGCCCGTTGACCGAGATGGCGACTGTGTCGGCATTGGCAGCATCTGCATCGTTGGATGGAAGGAGATCCATGAAGCTGAGCTGGAAGCAGATGAGCTCGGGAATTTGACCCAAGATGACCTCACCGCCAGGGCCGCTTATCGCATGCTTCACAACGCAAACGAGGTGCAGAAGGAGATGTTCTAGATGTAGTGTTATTTAATTAGTGTAGGCGTAATTTCATTAGTGTTCTAGATGTGTATATTCGACTTTTTAATATTACTAAATTTGTGTTGGAATCGAATGGGAATACAGGAATAAATTCATAGCCATGTAAGAACATTTCGTGAATGAACGTAAATACGTTTTATTCGTCATACTATATATAGACAACGTAATACCTATTGCTACACGCGGCCCTACCAACTTTTATCAACATTAAATGTGTTTCATCATTTCCGCTAAAGGCACTATGAATGTTTTGTGGACTGGAGGACTTCCACAAATTTTCAAGATTACTGTACTCACTAAAACAATTTCCCCGGGTGACATTTTATCGAGAATGTTTTGCTGACGTGACATCGAATCGATAGAAACGTCGTGCCCAATGAACACAAACCAAATGGCCGCAACTGTGTCGCCCTAAACCACCCGAGTAGTTGTACAGGCTCGGCAGCAGTCATTGGCCCAACTGAAAACAACCCGCAGGCTAGATGCCACTAGCATAGAAAATCAATCGGCCATTTTCAGGTGCATGCAACTTAGCCTGGGAAATGTATTCAAGTGCATGCCATGTTATTCCGCAGGTGTGTACACTTTACGCAGCTTAGAAATTTGTTATCGTAATAGGTTGCGCTTCCCAAGATTCGTTTCGAATCAGCACAAACAGTCGAGAATAGATGCGATTACTGATTACGCAAAGCGAAATCGGGAATGACTGGCTCTCAATTCTACATTCTCTGACGTCACCAGAAGCAATAATTGCATGTTTGCCCAATTTCGACGCGAATTTCTGCTTTGCTCCAACTCTTCTCAAACGAACTTAAAATGCTAAACCGGCTGTACTTTTGACGTGGGTGATGGACGCTGCGCAGGGCAAATCAACAAATGTTTCTTGCGTGCAGAAATTAAGAAATGATGATACGAAACGTGAAAAATCTGCCCGAGTTCTAATTGAGTTTCCTTTACCGCTATAAAATAAACACGCTACAAGTATTATAAATGGTAGTAATGAAAGCTAAGGTATTCCAACAAATAGAATATACATGTACCGTAAGAACATTATTTTTTTGTGGGGGCAAACTTTACAAAAAGTCGGGCAGACTTCTCATGGAATTACCCTTTCCAAATTTCTGCACGCCCAAGAAACAAATGTTGATTTGTCATGCGCAGCGCTCGTCACCTGTGTCAATAGTACAACTGATCTAGCATTTAAGTTTGGTTAACAACAGTTGGGGCGAAGCAGAAATCCACGTCGAAATTGGGCAAACATGCAATGATTGCTTCTGGTGATGTTAGAAAATGTAGAATCGAGAGCCAACCATTTCCAATTTTGCTTTGCGTACTCCGTAATCTCTTCTATTCTCGACTGTTTGTGCTATTTCGAAACGAATCTTGGTAACCGTCTCATATTACGATAACAAATTTCTAAGCTGCGTAAAGTGTACACACCTGCGGAATAACATGGCATGCACTTGAATACATTTTCCAGGCTAAGTTGCATGCACCTGAAAATGGCCGAAAACCAATCGCCAAAACCAGGCAAATGCCTGGAGCCGAAAACCACTCGCCAGCTAGTGGTTTCCCAACCAATTGCGGGACCTCCAAATTTCCCGATGTCCGCCAAGTGGCGACGTGCAGAGGGGATGGGTTCCAGTAATGCATGCCACTATTTCTGCTGCAATGCGGCAATTGCTTCAAGCAAGCTGCTAGGAACGCGATTCGGCAGTCCTGCGTGAAAGCGAAGCGATTGAGAAGGGCAACTCGAAATGGGTGCGACAGCAAGGCGAGTGGGGCATTGGGAGCCATACTGCGCCCACACATCCTCCTCCTTCGCTCCCCCATCGCCAAACTTGCTTGTCCCGCTTTCGTCTCGAAAGCTATTCGCCAGCATCTAGTTGGGTAAAACCACTCGCTTCAGCTTACAAACGATTGGTTTCAGCCAGTGGTTTGCGATTTCGCAGGTTCGGGGGCGTTTTGTTTGCGTTTTGCCGAGCTCAAGTGCGACATTTGGCACGCGTCATACCTGTTTCCGAGGCAAGGGTGGCAAGAAATAGGTCGGGCCCAGGTTTGGAAGTGCCAAAGAATATTTCGGCCAGTCAAGCAGCTCCACGCTTGCACGATATGGTTGGTCGAAATTGGTCACAGTCATGCTGGTACGTGAGGCCATTTATCTTCGATAAGTTGACCCGACGTATTAATTTTGGTGCAAGAAGAAATAGCTTTGTCTATATGAAGTGACATATTGTGTACACAGAATGTTATTGTAGTATGTTTTTTTCAATGCGTGAAAGATGATTTGTAAAACTTTAAGTTTATCGCTTAATAGTGATTATGTGGTTGATGAATATAATAGTTGCTAGAATCGTTGCAGGTATTGCATGAAAATTAGCAAACTTGTAGCAAATCTTCATGTATAACTTATAAGTCACTCAAATAGCTTGCTGGTGTAGGGTATACCCAAACGAAACACCCGAGTGAGCTTACTCACAAGGGCGTTGCGTTTCGAGGCGGTTGGCATTTCTGCGGGAAGTGCTTGAGAATCTACGGCACATGTAGAGGGAGGATCAGGATCGGGTGATCCTGGCCGTTTCATCTAATCTTGATGGACCCTCCCACACCTAACAGCCAACTGCCAGGTGCTCACATGCGGATTGGTTGCGCGTGGGCCCTGGCACCAACTAAACGAGCAACTGTGGTTGGTGAAGGTTTGTCCTAGTGCATACAGGGAGGTTGCGTGTAATTTTTGCAGATGACGCAAAGTTTGCCTGCGCGAAACAGAACAGGTGGGTTCGCGACCTGAAGTTCATTCGCCGAAGACAAAAAGGGCGTGTCAGGTGTTTCCGCACAACGCCTCCATTTCGCGCGATTGTGTTGTTCAGGATCCGTCATTTTGAGAGCTTACGACGAACGCATTACTCAACTAAACGCAAATCCGCTCGGTAGGATTGTGCGCCATAGCCTTAGGTACCATCTCCAAGTTGAATCAGTCGTTAAAGCCGGCGGCCCAAATTGTTCATGCTTTTAAAAGTTGACCAGAGGGAGTTTTTCTGGTGTGGGCTTTGGCGAGAGTTTCCGATTTCGTCTAGGTTCGTTTTTTTTCGCGAGACCCAGCCAACCCTCGGTTTTCCCCCTGGTGAGTGAATCTGTCTTCGAAAGTCCCAAATTGCAAGTGCGTGACTTTCAAAAGCTTGGACACTCAACTTCATCAAGTTTTAAAAACTTGACCCTCGCGGCCCGCAATTTGGGACGCGGGCTTTAAGATGGTCTAGAGAGTGAGAACCGAGTAAAAACGTCCAGCAGCCGCATGACTAGAATGGTGGAGGAAGTACAAATATTAGGGCATAGGAAGTTGGAGTTGGGGACCTCCAAGAGAACCATGAGAGGGAAGGGGTTCTCCAAGAGCTAGGGAAGGATGGTAGGAACCTTCCTAGCAGCAAGGATGCAACCCTCATCATGAGGTCCTTGAGGTGTCACATGCAAAATCCAATCTAGTTGGATTTTGCCTAGGTGTTGCAACATTTGCAACCCATGCTAGAAACTTCTAGCCACCCCAATCCAAAAGTCAAAGTTGCCTTCCCTAACCACCCAACCAAAGATCCCTTTATAGTCATGTCCCAAGTAATCACCCAAATTAGATATAACCCCAAAAGGTAATAAGAAATCCAAGTATTGGAAATCTTGTAACTTGGGCGATCTTGGTCGGAATAAGGCGATCTTGGTATCGTTGGAAAGCTCTGGATTTCTCCTGAATGATCAAGCATTTAAACTTGGAGAAAAAACACAGAGATGATAATATCCAACAGCCATGCACAATGACATATGCTCATGCAAACAATGCACGCATGAATAGCACGAGCACCCGGCAGGACGTTAGGATGACATGCACTCAGAATGAGGTGCATCCAACAGATTGTTCGTCGAGGCGCTGTTGTAATATTTAGCGGAGACGACGCGGAATCCTGGGTGGGGCGGGAACTGACTGACGTGTCTAGCATCACGACAAGTTCCAGCTGGCGAGTAGCCCCGTCCGTCAACCCGTCGCTAGTGAATGTGAGAATAAGAACACGGAATGAATGCACTAGGAAACAGGTGGCTACAAGTAGGAAAACCTAAAAGTGTTGTACCCTATATAGTCTACCCCACTACAGCCTACACAGACTATAGCATATAAGTCTGACACACCCCCATAGGCAAAGTGGGGGAGAACAAGGGGTCACAAGACCAGTCAAGCAAAGCAAAGCAAGCTCAGGGTGGATCACAACGTCACCACACATTCCGAGCACAGGTTCAAGGCCACAAGGCCAGTTCACATGCAGGATCATATATATAAAAGTAAACAAACAAGTGCAGGTATATATAGAACACAGTACAAGCAAGGTCAAGAAGTAAGCAAGTGAGGCCAAGTAGGCACAAGACCTAGCATCGTACAAAAGTGCTGATGATCACAAGGCTGAAGTGCCTTGGTAAAGATATCAGCAGTGTTGGCCTGAGAGGCCACGTAAGCAAGGCGTAGCTGACCACGCTGCTGTAGCTCACGAGCAAGGAAGTAGCGAAGAGCAATGTGCTTCTTTCTGTGCTCCAGTCTGTGCTCCCGATACAAGGCCAACATGGCCTTGTTGTCTACGTACAAAACTGGAGGAGAACGAGGCGGCTCTCCTAGGTCAGTCAGCAGGTAGGTGAGCCAGCGTAGCTCATGTGCAGCCATGGCCCCCGCGTAGATCTCAGCCTCACAGCTGGAGCCGAGAACAGAAGTCGAGCGGGTAGACCGCCACGAAACAGAGCCAGAACCAAGGCTGAAGGTGTAACCCTGTGACGACCGCTGCGTAGCCTGGTCGTCAGCCCAAGAAGCGTCTGCGTGACCTGTGAGGACCACTGAACGCCGCCCTCCAAGCACTAGCCCCATGCCCGACGTACTGCACAAGTAGCGCAACACCCTCTTCGCTGCAGCCATGTGCTCTGGTCGGTGTCTCCCAGGAGCAACATAG